AACCCTAGGGCACGCCACGGGACGAAGGTGTTCACGCACTGTCATCCGACCGGGTCGATCAAAAGAGACTGTCACCGATTACGGCCGCTAAACAAGCCAGGTAGAGGATCCTTCGCAAGCTCGATTCATCCTCATTTTCATTCTAGTTTACTTATTAACCCTTCATCGTCGACCAAAACCAAATACTAACCATTATCGCGATTTCCATGCCTTGCTCCGGTTAACCGGATAGATTAAGAACCCATCAATTTTCCTTTGACAGCTGAGCTCGAATCTCAGCATCGCGAGATAGAATCACGCGCAGACCACCATTAAAATATCAAGAATTCCCGCGTCAGCACCCCGGCGTCCAGTAACCTGCCACCGCTAAAGCGCGCTATCGCGACACCCGAACCTCCGCGACGCGGAAGTATACTAATCCAGAGAAATTAGGTCAAGACACCTCGTGTGCTCCTCACAGCTGACTGTAGTTCAAACCTCGCGTACGAATAAATATAGCTCTTATCGCCACATAGCCTTTTGTTCGCACCCCTTTTTATCCCTCACTCTCCTAGATCCCACCAGAGGAATTGATCTAGCCGCTCGGATCAATCTCCTCACAAACTCAAAATAAACGTTACGCGCAAGATTTGGGTAATCTCCATCCGAATTACCCCGGCCTCGCATCCGCTCGGCCGCCCCGTAACACTCTTGAATACCTTCATGGATTACAAGTATTTAGGTCTCTAATGAAAGAGAAGAAATGAACAACGAGATCCATGTATGCTAAGAACTTCGTAAAGTATGATGAAGGGCGCACTAGGTGTTTGAAGAAAAATGAAGGGGATGTGAAAGTCAATTAAAGGGCATCTGAAAAGTTAATCGTTCATGAAACTTTTTTCCGAGTTAGGTGTGCTGAATCGTTTCAAACTTTACAACCTGAACGTGGAGGCTATAAAAAAGGTCCTAACACTAATGAAATTTTATTTTTATAACAAATTTAAAAAGTATCTAAATAAATTTTTAAAATTGAAATTTCATGAGTTTCAGGACCTTCCTTATACCCTTCATATCTGTATTATAAAGTTTGAATCGATTCAGTACACCCAGTTTGGAGAAAAGTTTCATGAACGAGAACTCCTTGACACGATTCTCTTAAATACCCGATTAAACGATGTTTAGAGGAAAAGAGAGTCAGTCAACGTCCATGTACAGTCGGCGTCTTGTATAATTGATGCCAATAAACTTGTCTGACGCTACTACGTCTCTTGATAAAAGAGAGTAGCGCTCAGTTAACGTCCATATATAGTCGGAGCCAATAAACTTGTCTGAGACACTACCGCGTTTGTTGATGACAATTTCTATTTAATTTTGAAAAAGAGTACCCAACACAAATTTCAATCCGGATTATAGTTTAAAAACTGTAGTGTTTTAAAATTGACTGATCACGAAGTACGATTATTTGTCGAATTTGTTTAATTTGTCCAGTTCAAACATCCCATTATCTGTGCCACTGTTCAGATTCAGTACTCGTGGTTAACAAAAGTCGGGCATTATCTGTTTGCGAGATTCTTGAATTTTAGTATGTTAGAGACAATCTGAATGCGAACTCACTGAATCGGTAAAGTAACAAGGACAAAAAGTGTCTTCCTTTCAGGTACCTTAAAAAAGAAAAAAAATTATTTAAAATTGATATTTAACTCCCCCTTCGAGAGGTATCGGGATGTTTCTACTGGCACTGTTTAGTAATTAATCCTGCTTCGTGAATGGTCAATTTTAAGCCACTGAAGTTCTGAAACTGTATTCAGGACTGTTGTTTGCGTTAGTTCTTTTGCAGAATTAGATAGAGATTATCATTATATATTTCTTGTTCGCGAGGTTTGGGATACCCCGTTACCCAGTGAACACTGTATAGCTGTTGGATAAATTTTACGTTTTCGAAATTAACATGTTATGGAGCATAAAAGTAACATGGTAGTTAGATGTTAGTTATTATTTCCTACTGAGTAAGGTAACATGTTATGTAACATGTTATATTAATGTTATATTAATGTTATATTTTCAGTTACCTTAAAATTTTTCATACATTTAAAAAAAAGATCACGCAATTTTATCCAAAATTAGATAATTTTTTATTTTTAGTTATTGTTTGGTACTTGACAATAGTTAGATATTAAATGACAAATCAGACTTTCAATAAAATTATGTAATGATAAACTATCTGATTTTACTTAAAGACTATTATGATTTCATTCGACTAGCAAACAATGACTGATAATGTATATGCGCGTACAAATTAAAATCACATTTTTTCATACGAATAGTAAACAAAATATGACATATATTAATCTTATGACATTTGACGATGAATTATGACAATGACGATGACGATGATGTAATAAAATAAATGACAGCATCAATGTGGTTCTGTTTTGTTACAAATATGTGTTGCATATACACAGTAATATAAGGATAGTAACATAATCTAGAATGAGAGTAACAGTTATGTTACATTTATATAGAGATGATAGTAACAAATATTATGTAACCTGTTAGCTCCATGTTACATAACTGTTAAGTTACTGCACTGTAGCAAATGTCATGTAACTAGTTAGCTCTATGTTACGTAAGGTTATTACATTGTAACAAACGTTATGTTATTTGTTAGTTTTAAGTTACGTAACTGTTAGGTTTGGTGTTCAGTGGGTATATATTGTATTATTACCAGTGTAATTTTTCAATATCTCATTATATAATGTTATTTTAGTATTTTGACATAATGTCCTTAATGGGAATAATTCAGGTGTTACCTGAATGAGTTTAAGGTGACATGAAAGGATCAACCTATATTAGATTTTAGATTTTATATTAGCTATTTAGGACCCATAGGAATTTGATCTTTAAACGGTGGTTGAAGAGTTGCAATAAGGACTCAGGAGTTCTTAAGGATTCTCGAGAATTAAATCGCTATATTATATTTAATTTGAACAGTCACATTTATAATGAAATTAGAAGGGGTACAGTGTCAATACAGGGTGAAGTGCACCTAGAATATTCCGTGAGAAGGGAATGTCGCGAGACGAGACAAGGACGTTGAAGGCCGCGCGTTACCGGCCTGCGGAATATTCGTCCGAGTATCAATTGCAGAATATTAACTCGGGATTCTTTACTTGCAAGGTGCCATTTACTTTACTCAGAAAGAGCAGGTAAAGAGTTAAAATTTTGGTATTCTGTTGCGAGTTATTCATTTGGAATAGATTTCAAAAGAGTGATGAAGAATGAAGGAGTGGATGAGTGGAGCTCTGTGAAGGGGAGCTGTACCTTGGCTTCGCAAAGGTCTTTACTTCCGGTGGCGTCTTTCCTACGTCCAGCCGGTTGCGATGAACTGCACGTGAACGCCTTCAAATCGGGGCGTGCCCTAGGACTGGAGCATTCTATAATCCTCCCGGTAGTCTGGAATTCGCTGCGCCGTCATTCTTCTCACTGTTGGTTCGTGGATGTCGGAGTACCGAAACACACAACTGTTACGAACGATACGGTCGTCTCTTCACAGAACCCTTGCCACACAGAGTGTGGACTATCTGACTGAGAGGAGCTTCGACCAGAAGAGTAGTTGACAAACAGCCTCAGAAAAATGCTGTGCTATTTTTCGGATCAGTATTTATATGGGATCTTATCCTTGAGATGTCCGTGGGGAGAGGATCCAAGTTCCTTGTTTTTGGATTTTTGTTGCTAGGGACTTCATCGGACGTGATTAGGAAGTCACTATGTTGACGGATGAGTAGGCCCATGTTTTGGTTTAGAGTGCAGTTCGATGCGGAAGGCGCTGGGTAAAGCCAAAACGTTCCTCGATGATCGCTCCACCCATTGTTATTTTTCCCAGTTAGTCAGATGACATTATCGTTGCTTTAAATTCGATATTCATCTTCCGGTACCTGACTCATACTTAATGTAATGCGTGCATCTATATTTTGAGGAAATAAAGGTAACCTCGGAACAATATTGAGAGATCCAGTTGTCCGTGAAAGTATTCTCCGAAATGGATGTACCGATTCGTACCAAATCTTACCACGTAAATATGGAGGCCCTAAGGCAGGTCCTGACACTCATGAAATTTCATTTTTAATACAAAAATTATTTACTTATCATGGACTAGAAGCAATTAGACGTTAAGCTTGCATGTTTTTGATGTTTTATGCTTTTCGAAGGCTTAGAATCGAAAATAAAGAGTTTCAGGGCTTAGTTCGAATAATTTAGAATACTAGAGAAATGGAATATTACAAAGTCAGATGGGAAAATATGGAAATTACATTCACAAACGATTTCGAAAGAATGTTGGCATGTCCTGTGGATTACACGTATTTTTGAGCAAAAAATTAATTGCAGCTAGCGGCACAGATGGTGCCATTAGTCCATTAGAGTATCAGAAATCATGAATCCATGGAATTTCGGTAGTTTTATTTCGATCTTTTTATAATATTTCTACCGAAATAACATAAGGAACACTTCATTTCGACTAATTCGTAACGTAGAGTGTAACAAGCGTCAACATAAAGGCAAATATCGGTGACGTTGCGTGTCAGCTTATGTTACCATTTGAGTATTAAAAATACCGTTACCACCAAAAAGGGTACAGATAAGTTTTAGTTTATCGACATCAATTAAATTTCTCAGCGCCTTTCATATCATCCTAATAGAATGAAAGTAAAGTGAATCATTAATGGAATCTGCAAAATCAAACCACCGATATTTTTGTTTTCTTTAGTATTACGGCTTGGTGTAAATGCGAAAGAAAGAAGCTAAAATGCAGTTTTGGACTTTTATAACAGCTTTTTTCAGATGCTATGCGTATAAATACATGAAATCGCTCGGAATTGTAAATACTTTATTTTCTCCCAAAAAGAAAAAGGATATTTATTTCAGTTTCAAAAGTATCACTGTTCAAAAACCGATAATGCACCGTTGCCTCCTGACTGCTGGGCAGAAGTTTCACCGACATTCTTTTCTCTGATTACAACAGGTAGAACTTCTCTATCCTAAGCCTGGGTACGTGGAAATCGATCCGGATCAACTATGGTCTGCTATAATCACTGTCATCAAAAATGCAATCCAAGGTAAGAAAGTTAGAAGCTTAAGTACCCTAGCGGATATGAATGTCATTCCCGAAGAGCTATTCAATTGGAAATCGATAAAAATTATTTCATTTCATAAGAAGTGATTGCATTTGACCATGCGGTAGACGCTAATGTTATATAGTAGTAAGTGATTTCCAGCATTAAAATTTTCGGTATTAAAGTTTCGGCGATTTCCAGTAATTTCCAACAATGTTTTAGAGATTTTAAACGATTTTCTATGATTTTCAATAATTTCTGAAATATCTATTACGCACTTTCATGTTTCTCTCTGGTTTTTAAACATTCTAAACATGACCTTTATTACTGATTTTTAATAATATCTGCCCAATTTCTTTAAATTATGTTAGCCGTGTATATAATCAATTTCTTTAACGGTTTGCCGATTTATGTACGTAAGTTAACTGAATATTTTAAGCTGTCTCCAGTACATTACTAAAATACACAACTTTATATGTACTGTGCCGTGGCAAAATATCTGTCAGTTACAAGGGGGGTTTGAAACCGGAGCGGGGAGGAGTCCCTCCGGCAATCATTAGGGTTAAGATATGTTTGTTATTTAATAATTGTGTAAAAATAGGGATAAACCTAGAGGTGCTAAGTTGCGGCATGCATCGCCGCATATCGACGCGCGCATTCTAAGTTTACAGGATCGCGCAAAACACGCGGGGCTCAAAAATCGGAGGTTCTGCTACCATCGGCCGGCGGTCGCCCTAATTAGACGGCCTAGTGACCTACTTTGATTAGACGAAGATGGCAGATCGGAGCCCAGAAAGGAGTTTTGCGGAGCCCACCAGGGGGGCAATGCCGCTGGAACGGAAGATTTTCCGGCGGAACCGGCATTGCATAAAAGGCCAGGAGGAGGCAAACCGGTGTGGTAGTCCCTCCGACTACCACACCGGTTGTATTACATCTGATTACCGTCCCGTTCAGCGACAGCGTTTCCCGTCGAGATCAGAGTACCGAAGGGCGCCGTGCCGTTCCACTTCCTAAAGGGTGCTGTACCGTCCCGTATTCCGAGGGATGTCTCAGTGCTGTCGCCTCCCAAAAGGAGTTTCCGTCCCCACCATGCGAGCGCCGTACCGATGAGCTCGAGCTTACCCAGGGGGTCTCTCTACCGCCTTGTTCGTTTTCCGTTTGCTGCTTCTGTAGATGCCGTTTTCCGATTCCCGCCTGTGCCACCGTAGAGTGCGGGAAGATTCCTACGCCGTTCGGAGGATGCCGGCCTGTCGTAACTCTCGTGTGTCAGTCGGTCCGGGGGCCGCATATCGTTTTGGCGGATAGTCGCCATTTTTTTTTTTTTTCGTGCTTAGGCGGCACCTTCCGACCCGCATATGCCGTAGTGAATTTCCGTCTAGTGGCGTCCCCCTTTGAACCTAATATTGTCGGGTGGAAACTCTCGCTCGCCTCCTTACATAGTGCCCCTTACTGTTACCGTATTATTGTGTCTCAGAAATTATCGTGGCTGCGTGCGCGCAGGTCTGGGTGAGCGAGAGGAGTAGTACCATACCGCGGGCCGGCGCCATTATCGTTATACGCGCTAATTGGGCTCCGGGCCTTTATCGAGGCACCTAGGGGCCCTAAAAGGTCCTCCCGACAGGGCGTTGTGCCCCGTTTGGACCCCTACCGAGGGGTATCAAGTTTGATCGCGACACGTAATATTTTGCACTGTTAATCCCCACCAAGCGTCCATCCCGTTCGACGAGCGCCCTTCTGTCTTCGTTATATTTTGTACCGCGGGCGCAACCATTATTGAAGAAAGCGAAGCAGGAATAAAGATCCCGTCAGGATGGTTCATCGCAAGGCACCCTTTTATTTTCATTTGCGAACCTTTCAATTTCGAAGGTTTCGAGGACGACTCCTCTTTACTCGTTTCGTACCGTACTGAACCACCAAACTCTACCGTGCCGGGAAGGGCATAAGGTCCTCCCGGGGCTAAGTGGCCGGTGGTATACGCTCGACCGGTCCCGGCTACCGGACGCAGGGTCGTAGTACTTTGGCTACCTGAAACCGGAATTCCGAGGTGTGCGCGTGCGCACCTGGCGCTCTGATATAAATCGGTTTTCCGGAAGGCCAAAAGATCGGGCTTGACCCGATTCATTACGTAAGGTTCGAATGAATAAGGGGATAGGTTTTCCCGTCGCAGTACATGAACAAATAGTTACACACATAACACCAGGTGTATAAGCTGAAATCCGCTGGTTGCTCATAGATTGCGTTAGTGAGCATATTAACTTACTATGGACACGCCATACTTTTGTTTTGCATGAGTTTGATATCTGTCAACAATAATCAGTGCACATTATCCGCAATTTCATACAACAACATGCATTTTTCCTTTAGTAATCATGTCTAGTTTTTGCCAGAAAAAGAATATATACGAGAAGCTCTGCGTTTCTGCTTCAATTTGAAGAAATCGGCTGCCGAATCGCATCGAATGCTTGTGGAGACCTATGGTGACAGTGCTTTATTGGAAACAACGTGCAGAGATTGGTTTCGTCGGTTCAAAAACGGCAATTTTGACCTGAGCGACAAGAAGCCTGAAAATCGGCCTAGGAAGGTTGATGACCATCAATTGCAGGCTCTCTTGGACGAGGACGATACCCAATTGCAAAAAATTCTTGCCGAGCAATTGGATGTTACTCAACCAGCCATTTCCATGCGCCTACGTGCTATGAGGGAGGTTCACAATATCGGAAAATGGGTGCCGCATGAATTGACCGATAGGCAGATGGAGAAACGCCAAAACACATGCGAAATCTTGCTTGCCAAACAAAAAAGAAAGTCATTCCTGCGTCGGATTGTGTCTGGCGATGAAAAGTGGATATTTTTCGAGAATTCTAAACGCAAGAAATCATGGGTTGATCCCGGCCAACCATCAAAATCGTTCGCATGACCAAATCGCTTCGGACGAAAGACGATGCTGTGCGTTTGATGGGATCAGCAGGGTATGGTCTACTATGAGCTGTTGAAAACTGGTGAAACTGTCAATGCCCACCGCTACCACCAACAACTGATCAAATTGCCCCATGCTCTGCGTGAAAAAAGGCCCGATTATCCTCAAAAACATGACAAATTGATTTTCCTCCACGACAACGCACCATCGCACACGTCAAAAATGGTCCGACTCTACTTGGAGGCACTCAACTGGGAAGTGCTACCCCATGCTGCTTGTTCACTAGACTTGGTCCCTTCCGACTACAACCTGTTTTCGTCGATGGGCCACGCGCTCACTGAGCAACACTTCGATTCTTACGAAGACGTCCGACAGTGGCTTGATGAGTGGTTTGCCTCGAAAGAGAAGGAAGTTTTTTGGCGTGGTATCCACAAATTGCCCGAGAGGTGGGACGAATGTGTAGCTACCGAGGGCCAGGACTTTGACTAAATTATTTTTTTGCTTTGTATGAAAAAAATATGTTTTTCTGACTAAAAAACAGTGGGTTTAACCTTATATACCTGGTAAATTGTAATGGGATTCGGGAGGAGAAAACTGGCGGTGAGAGAATGTGACGGCGAAGTTTCACTAGAACTGGAAACCGCTTTTTTCTAAATTATCCTTAAATTCTAACTTACTCTACCTTAGGAGTTTACGCGGGTTCGGTGTCGGTCGGCGGAATGGCTGTGACACACGTGGCGCGGCAAAATGGCTGCCCCATAGTCGTGCCTCGGCGGACGTCGACGGGGTGCTTTGGGCTCATCGATTTAAGTAATCGGTCGGCCGGCAGATCTATACTTAAATAATACGCCGCTACTTACACTTACTGATTGTTCCTGGAGGCCCCAAACGTCGTTGACCCACGCTAGAAAGACTAAATGAATGAATGATTTAATACTTACCGTTCCCGCTCCGCTCCGGCTTGTGACGACAAAATCCTGCCGCGTCACAACATATAATACTAAAACAAGTACCATGTTAAAAATTAATGACTGAGGTAATACTTAAGTTAGCAAAAATTGTAGGGTTTAATAAGTTTGAAAAATATCTCAGGACACCGCAATTCGTTTACATACTTTGTGACGTATATCCGGTCCGTCGGATACCTAGGTTCACAAAAAGGGCACTTGCCTGGGAGGCTCAAACCTTGGGTCTCCTAGGGTCCCTAAACTCTACCTCCGCCCTGGCTCGAATCCACCCTTGAGCACCGATTTGTAGACCGGTTGGGCGCCAGATGTCCCAGGACCCCAAATCTTGAAGTTCCTTCGGCCGCCCTTCCCTGAGGGCCTTGACTCTCCCCGCGAGAGTGAAGACGAAAGGCGAGGGCGAAGGGTTATCCTCGACTTTCTTGAGGCCCGCCCTCGGGGAAAACTCCTGAAATTTCTCCTCTGCTCAAAAATGGCTCCGCGGGCCGGGACGAAGGGCCATATAACTCAAATAGTTTGCCACCGAGATGACGTGGAGATGGGCGAAATAAGGGTACTTAACCCGGCGATTTTAATTTGTCCAGAAGGGACCTGATTCCCTTCCGGTAAGGGAGAGGAAAGGTATGCCTCTGCTAGTAAAATAAAATCTAACTCCGAATTAAAGGGTTAATCACAACGGCGATTTATTCATCGGAGGTAGTGAGCCGAATCTCAAAAGTAGTAGACAAAAATAAATTTAACAGAGAGCTGAATGGATATTACCCGACACTAATTCGGACAAGGAACGCGCGCGATGCAGGCGCACTGGCGAGGAGTTAAATAATTATAGAATATAGCACAAGGAACAGTAACTATAAAAGTAAAGAATAAAAGGTACGAGATCTGAGGTATAAGGGACGCTCGCCAACTAAAACTAAACAAAATTCAAAAGCGATCGCACCGCCGAGGGCGCGCGGGACGATTATTATAAATTTTGTTGGCCTGGAAAGTATAATCAGTTGACCAGTCGGATGCGATGATCTGAAATAGGGAAAATAATACGCGTTCGGAATGGTATATTGCAGCAGGAAGACTATCGCAAAGCGCGCGAGGAATTCTAGTCAAACGAGACGTATCAAGAA